AACAAATAGTGTTTATCATCGTGAAAGTCGAGCTAAACCAATCCACCATCAACTGCGCATGCGTTAACTACGATAAGCGGGACTGCGCATGTGCATTAATGGATGAAATAAATCTGTGATTATCGCTAAGAGGTAAAAAACAAGCCTTTATAAAGCTCCATTAGCCGTTTTAGTGTTGCCCTGGCTTTATGTTATGTACGTGCTTTAAATTAGAAAGCCGTAAAAACAACAACTGTAAAATAACGTTATTTTTACTCTAGACTTCAAAAGTAGTCTACGTCTTTAGATTTAATATAAAAGACGTGCCGATCTCTTCATGAATATTTTATGCTGTTCAATCTGAGGTTACCTTATTATTTGAGCACTTTAGCGCCCTGTCTATATATTTGAATTAACWATTCCCAATTTCCTGTGCACKCCGGAATCAAACGTGCTGCATTTAAATGTTTCTATAGCAACGTCTKAGTGCTCGAACAAATTGTGAACCATCGCGTGATTTTCGGTCWTTTCGAACACTTGATCTTACCCTAATGATCGATTTTAAGTAGTAATGTTTGTTGATTATTCATAATATGATCACGTGTTCCATTCTAGAACACTCAATYAATTATTGTTAACCTTGTTTACTTTATTGCTCATTTGTTGCTTATTTAATATGATTTTTTATTCGATTTTTTCGATAATGGCAACATAATAGAATGAAAGAATTACCTCTGATCATTCATTCTATTCGTTTATCTATTCTATCAATATCAGTAAYTCGATCTTGATCAAATCTTATTGATGTACTAAACATTGTCTTAAGTTATTGCATTCGAGTCACGATAGAAGGTGAGTCATTGCTTATGTGATCGGCGCAGGAAACTTTCGAATCGTATCTGATCGAATAACCGTTAACTTTGTGTGTTTTAAATGTAAGACCATTCAGGKTGTATTTGTATGAATCATTGGCAGCCGGTGGCTTATTTAAAAGAATAGCRGCGTTCATCCATTATGYCATTCTTTCTTGATCTTTTGTTCTTTTGTTCAACTCATTATACTTTATATATATTCTAATTTGATTATCTATTCTGCTTCGAATGTTTGTTCTATTTTGATCATCCATTCTATTTTGATCGATTATTCATTCTTTCCTTATTTTGGTCGGTTTCAATGCAAACAAATGTTAATTGAGAGTTGAAATCCTATCATATGTTAACCCACAGACACGTTTCGAGTATAAATTGTGTAAATAAAGGTTTAAGTAATTCAATTCTAACCGTAATGTGAAAAATACAACAGCTTYCATTACATWTAAAAGAAAACATKAAATATTTCAAAGGAAAGTATAAAATTCAGAATTTAATAAAAAAAGTGAAGTGCAAAAATGGGAWAAAATGAAAAAAATATGAAAATTAWACGGAAATGAGAAGAAAAGAATGAATGATTTAAATGGAACGAATAATCAAAATAGAAAAGTATTCWGTTAAATATTAAATCAATCAAACACTGACCTTGGAGTGTCATCGGATATAGMTGATTTGGCGGTTCTTCAGTAAAACAGATTTCAAATCTAAAATAAGACAGCAATAGTGGGCGATTTAGTAAATAACCATGTTTGAAAAGTCATTCAAATTATATATGTATCTAAAAAGAAGCTTTATGGAAGTGATGCCATTCAGTTTTTAAGCGCGCGATCGTTATATTTGGTCAATCCGATATGTTTTTGTTCAGTTTGATCATTTGTTCTTTTGTCAGATTCAATGATCATTTATTCTACAGTTAGAAAACATTCCATTTTGTTGATTTCATTGATGAATGACCTAAAAGGAACACTTTTTTAAGCGCGCGATCGTTATGTTTGGTCAATCCAATATGTTTTTGTTCAGTTTGATCATTTGTTCTTTTTCTCAGATTCAATGATCATTTATTCTACAGTTAGAAAACATTCCATTTTGTTGATTTCATTGATGAAAAACATTTAAATACAGTCTTAGTAAGAAAGGTGAAAATACCTTCATCGATTACTTCATCTACCCTTATAAGTCATAAGAATAACAACAATAATAATTGTATGTATCCAATGTAATCATGTTACAAATTATTMGGCAAATAAAATTAGTTTTATGACAGCAATTTTTTCATATARAATAATCATATTATGAAAAATGCAAAGCCGAGTTCTCTGTTTTTGTGTGGGAGATGATGATAACAATTGATGCCATAAAACTTATCAACCCACTTTGAAGTTTTCGGTTTAAGTTAAAGAAATGACAAGCAGTAATAACATCTAAAAATAAACCACACGAAAAATAATAAAAACAAATACTAAAAGAGCAAGCGTGCAGCTCTATTCAAAGTCACAAACTAGCCGGGATCTTTTTGAAACATACTTCAATACATGTTAGCATCGCGTATCTCTTATGTACGCGCCTACGCTAAATGTGATGCATATTACATCAATCTTTCTTTCAGCTCTTTAACATCTCATTTGCATTACACATGTGCGATTCGACGTTTTAAACGTGATTTAATGTTTGTACTCTATACGGCGAAAGTGAAAAATTACAAGTGATAGCTACAAAGCGTTAAGTTTCWCARCGTTGCGTTCCTSATATGTTYATAATGACATAATTACGCGAATCCATTATCTTTATAAATGTATGTTCATGTTTGTGTGAATTATGACCCATGTTGTGCAGAAGTTTGTTATACTTTGTGAGATCACGATGTGTSATGTATTCAGGTTTACGATAACAAACGCGCACTGCGGTCGGTAATGATGTAAAAAAAGTTCTTGCTTGGATGAGCCTCATTTCCCKCACCCTTTAATCGCCCTTAGAGTGTTAAGAAACAAACTGAWAAACYTTTAACGATCACGTTCTGCCTTGCGGACTGGTTTAATTCTACGAAACAACAACAWTATTTCTATTATTATTATTTACAAACAGAAAAAGACGTAGTATGTA